CTAATATGCAAATTGACCGAACGGCAGAACAACCGGTTGCTATGACGCGCACTGACCACCAGGGCGTAGATACTCAATACAGGGGGAGTGCTGCTCAGCCAGAAGTCGGGCTCACAGCTGGTGAGCGCAGTGGCGATGGCAGGAGCCTCTCCCGCCTCCACTGCAGGCGGGTGGTAAGGAGCGAGGGGTCCTGGACTGCGAGAGCCCCAGACTGCAAGAGGGATGTTTGACTGCTGGCTTAGGCCCGATCCCCCTGGACTGAGGGACCCTCCCTCCAGTGCACGAATTTTGTGCACCGGGCCTCTAGTATATTCATAAAAAAGAATGGAGTACTGACACGTTACAACATAGTTGAACCTTGAAAACATTATGCAAAGTGAAAGAAGTCAGATACAAAAGCTCACATATTGCATGATTCTGTTTCTGTGAAATATCCAGAAGAGGCAAATCCAAAGAGACAGAAAGCTGATTAGAGGTTGCCAATAGCCGAGGAACAGGGAGAATGAGGGTTACTGCTTGATGGGTTGGAGTTTCCTTTGGGGTCATGAAAATATTTTGGAACTATATAGAGATGGCTATATAATATTGTGAATGTAATAAAGGCCACTGAATTGTATACTTAAAAATGGTTAAATTAGTAAGTTTTGCATTATATGAATTTTACCTCAATTAAAATTAGTATATAAAATAAAAAATATACTTCCTAGGTTTCACTAGCCACATTTTGGGTGCTCAACAGCCACATGTGGCTAGTGCTGCTGATTGGAATTAGCATATTATAGAATATTGCCACCATGCACAAAATTCTATTGGACAGTGATGATATAACTGTACACTTACAATGGGTAAGTTTATGGTATGTAAATTATCCTTTGGTAAAAAGACAGGGCAATTTAAAAAGAATTATTTCAAAGGCAAATATAGATATTTTCAAAGAACCAGCTTTTGGTTTCACTGATTTTTTCCTACTATTTTCCTGTCTTCAATCTCATTGATTTCTGCTCTACTTTATATGTTTTTTAACTGCTTGCTTTAGGTTTATATTGCTTTTCCTTCTCAAGTGTCTTAAGGTAGAGGATCAACTTTGGTAGATCTCTTTCCTTTTCTAACATTTGAATCCAATGCTGTGAAATTTCTTCTTAGCATTGCTTTCACTGCATCCCACAAATTCTGATAAGTTGTATTTTCACTTAGTTCAAAATATTTAACACATTTTGAGACATTCTTTGGGCAATGTGTTATTTAGAAATGTATTGTTTAATCTCTAAATATTTTGAGATTTCCATCTATCTTTTGGTTACTGATTTCTAGTTTAATTTCATTGTGAGTTGAGGGCCTACGTGTTATGATTTCTGTCCTTTTAGATTTGTTAACATGTTTTATAGCCCAGAGTGTGGTCTGTCTTGGTTAATGTTCCATGTAAGCTTGGAAAGAATGTTTACTTGGCTATTATTAGGTGAAGTATTACATAAATTTCAATGACATCCCATTGATTGTTGGTGCTGTTCAGTTAAACTATATCCTTACTGATTTTCTGCCTATTAAATCTGCAATTACTAATAGAGGGGTTTAAAATTTCCAACTATAATACGGATGCATTTATTTCTCCTTGCAATTCTATCAGTTTTTGCCTCACCTATTTTGGCACTCTGTTGTTCAATACATACACATTCAAAATTGTTATGTTTTCTTGGAGAATTGGTTCTTTTATCATTAATCATTTTCCTTGATATTATTGATATTAATATTACTACTAATAATATTATTTATATTGCCATGATAATTTTCCTCGTTGTGAAGTTGGCTTTGTCTGAAATTAACAGTTTTTTCAGCTTTCTTTTGATTAGTGTTACCATGGTATATCTTTTCTCTATATCTTTACTTTTCATCTATATATATCTTTATATTTAAAGTGGGTTTCTTAAAAAAAAAAATAAAGTGGGTTTCTTATAGAACAAATATAATTTTTATCCACTCTCCATCTCTCTTTTAATTGGTGTGTTTAGACCATTCAAATTTAAAATGACTATTGATATAATTGAATTAATATGTACCATATTTGCAACTGTTTTCTATTCATTGTACTTGATCTTTGTTTCTTGTTTTCCCTTCCTTTTCTGACTTCTCTGTTTTTTTTTTTTTTTAAGCTTTATTAACTTTTCTTTTTTCTTTTTTTTTTTTAATTAAATCTTTATTGTTCAGATTATTACATTTGTTCCTCTTTTTTTCTCCCCATAACTCCCCTCCTCCCAGTTCCCGCCCCACCCTCCGCCCTCACTCCCCACCCACTGTCCTCATCCATAGGTGCACGATTTTTGTCCAGTCTCTTCCCGCATCTCCCACACCCCTTTCCCCCCCAGGAATAGTCAGTCCATTCCCTTTCTATGTCCCTGATTCTATTATAATCAACAGTTCATTCTGTTCATCAGATTATTTATTCACTTGATTCTTAGATTCACTTGTTGATAGACGCATATTTGTTGTTCATAATTTGTATCTTTACCTTTTTCTTCCTCTTCCTCTTCTTAAAGGATACCTTTCAGCATTTCATATAATCCTGATTTGGTGGTGATGAACTCCTTTAGCTTTTCCTTATCTGTGAAGCTCTTTATCTGACCTTCAATTCTGAATGATAGCTTTGCTGGATAAAGTAATCTTGGTTGTAGGTTCTTGGTATTCATCACTTTGAATATTTCTTGCCACTCCCTTCTGGCCTGCAAAGTTTCTGTTGAGAAATCAGCTGACAGTCGTATGGGTATTCCCTTGTAGGTAACTGAGTTTCTTTCTCTTGCTGTTTTTAAGATTCTCTCTTTATCTTTTGCTCTTGGCATTTTAATGATGATGTGTCTTGGTGTGGTCCTCTTTGGATTCCTTTTGTTTGGGGTTCTCCGCGCTTCTTGGACCTGTAAGTCCATTTCTTTCACCAGGTGGGGGAAGTTTTCTGTCATTATTTCTTCAAATAGGTTTTCAATATCTTGGTCTCTCTCATCTTCTGGCACCCCTATAATTCTGATGTTGGTACGCTTGAAGCTGTCCCAGAGGCTCCTTACACTATCCTCGAATTTTTGGATTCTTTTTTCATTTTGCTTTTCCGGTTGGGTGTTTTTTGCTTCCTCGCATTTCAAATCATTGACTTGATTCTTGCGCTCCTCTGGTCTGCTGTCGGGAGTCTGTATAATATTCGTTATTTCAGTCCGTGTATGCTTAATTTCTAGTTGGTTCCCCAATATAAGATCGAGGGTCTCATTAGATTTCTTGAGGATCTCACTACATTTATCGGCGGCTTCTAGACAGTTCTTAAGAGACCTTAAAAGTGTGGTTCTGAACTCTATATCTTCCATTGACAATTTTGTCCTGTTTCTTTGTCTCCGCATTTTGTTATGCTTCCTTGGTGCACCTCCTAGTGGTCTTTGTTTGCAGTCTTATAGTTAAATCTTGATTGTTGTAGCTAATTCCAGGGAGGGTTTGACCTCTAGGCCAAGTGGCTATGAGAATCAACTGTGTCAGTAGTGAGAGAACTTCTGTCCTCTAGGGAGGTGCTAATCTAGCCTTTGCCTGAGGCTATCCGGCAAATGCCTGTGTGCAGGGCTTGGGCGGGGCGGGTAGAACAGGATCAACAGGGTGGGCCGGAGAGAGCAGTTATGGCGGCTCTCAGTCCTGTCCCTAGGGGCTCTGCCTCTCTGAGTCCCAGCACCCGCTGCAAAGCTCAGAGAGAAAGCTGCACTCGCTCTGACCGAAGCCAGACAGTCCCGCTTCTCCCGTTTGAGTCTGGGTCGCTAAAGACTCGCCCGGATCTGGAGCTCAGAGTCTTCGACTCCCTCCCGATTGAAAACGCCAACCGCGCCCTCCTCCGCCAGCCCGCTCCGCGCACTCCGCACCTCAGAATTTGACTTCAGCACTGCGCCTCCTCTGAGTGTCCGTATGCGTTTCTCTTTCCTCCTAGTTGTAGGACTTCCACTCAGCCAGCGTTCCTGTGGTTCTGGGTGATGTCCCTTCCATTTTTTGGTTTCACTTTTGAAGTAGTTGTTCAAAGCAGCAAACTCCGGCGTTAACCTATGCCGCCATCTTGGTTCTCCTATTAACTTTTCTTATCTTTTCTTTATTTGCTTTGTTCTTGGGTCTGGATTTAAGAATACAAAAATAATACCATCCCACAAAGCTTAGGCTCTAAAATTAGAAAACTTGAGTTAGGAACTTCTTCTGTTATATCCTCGTCTTTGTGAACTTGGGAACATGGTTTTATCTATTTTTATAGAGCACACACATATGTTGTGCCCAGATTTCATGATTCCCAAGAACCCACAGGGAGCCAGCGAGTTCGATGCAAAAGCAAAGAGTCATTCATTTCAAACCTAGGTTTGGCTCCCCTGCCACACTCACCGATGCAACGGTAAGCTCCAGTGGCCGAGAGAGAGGACTTCTCTGTTTTGATTTGTAATTTTATACAAATATGATTCTGTTTTCTCTAAGCACATTAATTATACCTCTCTAAAAATTTTAAATATTTTCTCTAGAGTTTGCAATATGTATTTACAACTAAGTCTATGTTAAAATAACCTTGTTACTGCTTCATAGGTAGGAGATGACTTATAACAAAGTATTCCCAATTCCCAAGCCCTCTTGTAGCTTGTAATATTACTGTTATTCAATAGATTATTGCTGTTATTTTTAGCAAGCTATCTATTAGATCAACTAAAAAAACAAAAATATAATATTTTATTTTACCTACATTTGTTTCTTCTCTAACATTCGTCTTCTTTTTTAAATGTAGATCCAAGTTTCTGATCTATATGATTTTCCTTTTCTCTGAAAAACTTCTTTTAATATTTCTTACAAGGGCTTACTGTGACAAATTCCCTTGCTTTTGTTTGTCTGAAAAAGTCTTTATTTTTTCTTCACCTTTGTAGGGTAATTTCACTGTATAACAAATTCTAGTTTGGTATTTTCTTTCAATACTTTTACTTTATATCTCCTCTTGCTTGCATGGTTTCTAAGGAGAAGTCTGATGTAATTCTTATCTTTGGTGTTCTATAATTAAGGTAGTCTTTCCCCCTCCGGTTTCTGTGAGAATTTTTCTCTTCTAAAAGCAAGTATCAGATAGATTTGTCTAAACAACAACAAAATAATTTTTTATATGATTAAGAAAGACAAAGCAAAATGAATGCCACTAACAATGATAAAGACAAAATGGAAAAATACTTGCAATAGTAGACAAAGTGTTAATAGTCTTAATAGGTAAGGAGCTCTTAATAAATAAGCTAAGCTAAATGTTGTAAAAGAAAAGTGGGCAAAAAACATGAAAAGGAAACTCACAAAAGAAATTAAGATGGTCAATAAACATACAGAATAAAAAATCTTCGGTAATTCAAAATGAAATTAATTCAAGAAGGAGATAAAATTTTTAACATTTCAGATCAGTAAAGATTAAAAAAATGGTTTGTTGCATATGAGGAAAGGGTCAGAACCAGCTGATGGTATGAATAATGTTACATTTCTGGAGGGTAATTTAGCAAATTTTATTAAATTTCTTCAAAACATCAATTTCTTTTGATTCAGCAACTTTACTTCTGGAAATTTATCCCTAGAAAATAATTGGACAAATATACAAAGATGTGTGTATAAAGATTATTAATATGGTAGTATTTTTGTAATAGTGAAAAATTGACTTAAATGTCCACATTTATTTTTAAGTTGATTTATGAGAGATGAGAAATGAGAGAGAGAAAACTAGTTTGAAATAGGCAAACAAGTTTTTATAATAAATAATTGTCTCCTTAAGTGGCAGTGTCTTTCACAAATAAAGAATGGGAGGAGCAGAATGTAATGTGACATCCTGTACATATGATACCCTTACCTTTCTGAAGACCCAGAAGTTTGCAGTCCTGACAAGATGGGGCTTAGTTCCTTAGTTCCACAAACACCCATCACCCTTTCTCCTTCTTTAAATTGCCCATCATTTCCTTTGATGACTGGAAATATAGCTCCTTCGTTAGAAAACATCTAGTTGGACAATGGAAGAGGGTCTCCATCTTCATCAGTCTGACCTTGAGAAAATTGATTACAGCAGAATTTACTTCTCTGGGCATGGGAGTTGGGAAAGGGAAATCAGATACTCGATAATAATAATAGATACTCGATAAGTCCTTGGAGGCAGCCAAGAAATCTAGGCTATGACCTCAGCATTCGCAGTTCCATCCTGGTTAAGGGGTTAAATGAAACTGACTACCTACAAAAGCAGGGCCTAGGAACTCAGGGCAAAGCCTATATACCTGTAAATCTCCCATGATAACTTCCAATTTTGTTTTGCCTCTATTATTTATTTATGTATTTATTTTAGGTAACTCTGTGCTTTTTATTAACTACTTGAGGAGGGATGAAGCGGGAGGAGTGGGTGGCTCCGATGCCAGGCCTGAGGCGCTTCACTGGCTTGTACATGATGGAGAACTCACCCAGGTAGTGGCCAATCATCTCAAACTTGATTTCCACCGGATTGAAGGTCATGCCATTGTATACGCCAACCATGTTGCCCACCATCTCCGGCAGGATGAGCAAGTCCAGGGGTGCCTTCACCACCTCCGGCTTCTCCATGGGCAGGGCCTCCTTTTTGGCCTTGCGCGGGCGCTTCAGAAGCGAGTGCTTCTTCCTTCAAAGGCCCAGGTTTAGCTGCCGCTGCCGGGCACTGTACAGCTGCACCAGCTGCTCATAAGACGTCAAACAATTGATCGAGATGCACGCCGCGGTAGGCGAACTTGTGGAAGGTCTGCTGCTTCTGTGCTCCACTTCCGCCGTCTTGTCGGTTCTTCGGAAAACCTGTTCTGCCTCTATTGCTCATAGGTGTCATATTCCCAACCCTCTGACTTTCTTTTAGCTTCAAACTCTGGCTTGTGTGTCTGACATCAGGTGGCTATGGAGACCCTTTACAGGCAAGCCACTCCAGCCTGGCTGGACCGCCTGGCCTCCTGGCATTTCCTCCCCAGCATTAACCAGGGAAACTAGAATGTGCCAGAGCCATTTCTCTCCGCAGTCTCAGTAGGCCTGCATTCTTCACTCCATCTTTTCTACCCAGGATGGAGGGGTCAGAAACCAAGGGATACAATTACTAGACCAAAGAATGTTAGAGTTAGAAAGGACGATTTTCATCATTTAGCTAAAGAAACTTCATTTAAGGTGAAATGACTTGTTCCCGGTCATACAGCAAATTCTAGGGTAATATGGCACCTAGATACACAGATGAACCTTTTTATTATTGTTGTTATTATTATTACCAATTCTTAAGGTTCCATAGGAAGATAACATTCTATTTGATCTATAAGTACAGTCAGGTGTGATTCAGCCTAAATGAAGATGGACCACAGGTCTAGCCCATGTCTTTGTTACTACTATATGGAGGAAGGAAATGTCACATTTCTTTTTCCAAAGTTCTCTGCTACCTGCTTGTTTCGTCCTCCTTCTGGGAAGAAGAAAGCAGGCCTAGTGTTGATACCTAACCTGGAAGTTGATACCTAGGGTGACTAGGAGGGAGAGTGAAAGTAAAAACACATTTCTGAGAAAATGCTCCAGGTACAGCCAGCAGAGCTCCATCTCTTTATGAAATGGAGGCAGAACCTAAAGTCAAAGGCCAGGTAAATATAGGAACAGATGTGGCTATTGGGGCTGTGGGTTGTGGAGAGAAGGGATTTGACAAATGGCAAAGGGGAATTGAGGTGAGAGGAGCTACTTGGTGAATGGATAAATCAGGCTGGAGTACAAACTCATTTATGGATGCTGAAAGTGTGGGATGAGCTGACCTAATTAAAAACTACAGAGGGAAAACCACATGTGGAAAACCACCTAGTTGTAACCTCCCACCTGTAGTCAGAAAATGCAGTAAGACCTGATGACCCAATGGAATGTCTCACAGAGATCAGTTTTGCAGACAGTTACATAAAGGCTTTACAGCCAGTGAAAAAGATTCTCCAGACTTCTTCCCACAATGCCCTAGAGAGGTGTAGGCACAAGTTCCCCCATAATCCCTAAGGCAGTGTATATCTCATCATTCTTTCTGACTCAACCATGGAAAATTTCTCATTATTTTTCCTGAAACCAAATTCTCTAAATATCTGTACCACCAGTGTTAAGTCACCCTACTCAGAACCCTGGAGTCAGCTTTGAATTTCATTAATCAGTTAATTCATTGAGAAAATATTATTGAATCCTTACTATATCACGGATACTGTGCAAGGTTCCAGGATACCCAGTAGCCAATAATTTGCCTCATGGGACATATAGTCAAGAACTCACCAAATCTTATTACATCTACTTTCATAATGACAGTCATATTTATATCTGCTTTTTCCTACCACCATTCTGTTTAGTGTTCCAGCACCCTGTACCAGAACTTTTTCAGTAGCCTCCTGCCTTCCTGTTTGCATTATTTCCTGCACTCTAATCTATTCTATATTCATTCATTCCTAAATATGATAGAGTGTCAGAAACACATGAGACTTACAAATATAGATTACTGGACTCCAAACCTACTGAATAAGAAAGATGGTAGGCCCCAAGAATATATATATATATATATATATATATATATATATATATATATATATATATATATAATCTCTTATATAATAAAAGCCTAATATGATAAGTGTCTGGTCGTCCAGTCGCCCGTTCAACCAGTCAAAGCGTAATATGCTAATGATATGCTAAGGCTGCTCAACCACTCTCTATGATGTGCACTGACCACCAGGGGGCAGATGTTCCAACTGGTAGGTTAGCTTGCTGCTGGGATCTGGCTGATTGGGACTGAGGGAGATGGACTGGACATGTGGGCCGGACACGCCTTGTGGAGCCCTCCCACAGTCCCTCCTCAGCTGGCCAACCTCCTGCATCCCTCCCTGGCTTTGATCATGCACCAGTGGGGTCCCTCAGCCTGGCCTACACGCTCTTGCAATCTGGGATCCCTCGGGGGATGTCAGAGAGCCAGTTTCAGCTCTATCCCGCAGGCCAGGCTGAGGGGCCCCACTAGTGCACCAATTTGTGCACCAGGCCTCTAGTGTGTGTGTGTGTGTGTGTGTGTATAATATGTAAATACACTATATATACACTATATATATCTATATCTATATCTATATCTAATCTATATATCATCTATCTATCTATCTATCTATCTATCTATCTATCTATCTATCTATCTATCTCAGAGAGGAAGGAAGAGGGAGAGAGAGATATAAACATCAATGATGAGAGAGAATTATCTATCAGCTGCCTTTTACATGCTCCCTACTGGGGATCGAGCCCCCAACCTGGCCATATACCCTGACTGGGAATCAAACCGTGACCTCCTAGTTCATAGGTTGATGATCAACCACTGAGCCATGTTGGCTGGGCTATATTTTTTAAGGCTAACTCTATGATTCTGATACACAGCCAGGTTTGGGAACCATTGCTATGTCACTAACAAATACAATTACAATTGCTCAAAAATTTTCAAGAAATTCTCATTGTCTACAGAATAAACTAAAATATTAGCCTGGCATACACTATTCTGATCTATCCTAATTTTCTTTTACAAAAATTCTAGCCTGCTTTTAATTATGTAACCTTGAGAAAAATCACTTAAATTGGTAAGTACAAAATCAAGGACACAGTCTTTAGTAGCTAGCCTGTGCTACAAAAACTCTTCTGTAAAAAAATTTGAAGAAATAATGTATTTACTTCCTTCTCCAAATACATTTTTGGTGATGAGTTTTGTCCCCCATTCTTTGTTCCTTTCCTCTCCTGTTTCCCTTTCCTTCTGCTTCATGGTTTTCTTCTTATTTTTTTTTCTTGTTTAAATTGTCATACTCACACTTGCTAATGCAAACTAGTTCATTTTTTTTAAAATATATTTTTATTGATTAAGATATTACATATGTGTCCTTGTCCCCACGTTACCCTCTACCCCCCCCCCCCCCCCCCCCCCGTTGTCCGTGTCCATTGGTTAGGCCTATATGCCTGCATGTAAGTCCTTTGGTTGATCTTTCCCCCTTACCCCCACCCTCCCCTCCCCTCCCTCCAAACCCCGACAGTCCAATCAATGCCTCTCCGTCTCTGGATCAGTCCTTGTTCATCAGTTTATGTTGTTCATTATATTCCACAAATGAGTGAGATCATGTGGTCTTTATCTGCTCTCCAGTTCCATCCATGCTGTGGCAAATGGTAAGAGTTCCTTTTTTCTTCTTCCTCTTCTTAAAGAATACCTTTCAGCATTTCATATAATGCTGGTTTGGTGGTGATGAACTCCTTTAGCTTTTTCTTATCCGTGAAGCTCTTTCTCTGACCTTCTATTCTGAATGATAGCTTTGCTGGATAAAGTAATCTTGGTTGCAGGTTCATGCTATTCATCACTTTGAATATTTCTTGCCACTCCCTTCTGGCCTGCATGGTTTCTGTTGAGAAATCAGCTGACAGTCGTATGGGTACTCCCTTGTAAGTAACTGACTGTCTTTCTCTTGCTGCTTTTAAGATTCTCTCTTTGTCTTTTGCTCTTGGCATTTTAATTATGATGTGTCTTGGTGTGGTCCTCTTTGGATTCCTTTTGTTTGGGGTTCTCTGTGCTTCCTGGACTTGGAAGTCTATTTCTTTCACCAGGTAGGGGAAGTTTTCTGTCATTATTTCTTCAAATAGGTTTTCAATATCTTGCCCTCTCTCTTCTTCTGGTACCCCTATAATTCTGATGTTGGTACGCTTGAAGTTGTCCCAGAGGCTCCTTACACTATCTTCATATTTTTGGAATCTCTTTTCTTTTTTCTTTTTCAGTTGGGTATTTTTTGTTTCTTTGTATTTCAAATCTTTGACTTGATTTTTGGGATCCTCTTGTCTGCTGTTGGATCTCCGTAGATTATTCTTTATTTCAGTCAGTGTATGCTTAATTTCTAGTTGGTCCTTTTTCATGTCCTCCATGGTCTCACTATACTTATTGAGGGACTCATTAAATTTATTGGCGGTTTCCATAAAATTCTTGAAAAACCTTATAAACGTGGCCTTGAACTCTATATCCAGTCGTTTGCTTTCCTCC